GGCCAGTATGTAGTGGAGCCGTTATTCATGCCGTGTGTCGCTCCAACAGCTCTGGTCAAAGTCGTCAGCATGCTGGGAGTCAGTGAGTGACGTTACTTTATTGATTACTTTAGTCTAAACATCTAAATCTGTCAAAAAAATACAAATGATGTTGTAAAACTATAAACTGTTCTGCCTAGCGTTTGTGGCGGCAGTGAACTGCTGGAGTGTGTCGATGGCAGCTCGTACACAGGTCTTGCTGACCTTCATCAAGATGTTTGCTCTGATTCTGATCATCATCCCGGGCATCATGGCTCTGGTCAATGGTAAGAGACACATGCTGTTTTATCTGCTGCAATACAGTATTCATTTAGGATTACTCTGGAATGTTTTCAAACAAAACATATATTCATTTTACTTTCATAAACCTGTGTGAGAAATAATAATTTGTAAAGCCTCAGTTTAAACTCTGGTCAAACAGAACTGAATGCAAAAAGTATAATTTTATATCTCTTAAACTTTATTTTTTTATTTTTTTATTAAAATAAACATTTCCTAATTCATTTTGATAGTTTTGGCTCATTTCAAAGGTTTTATTCCTATACAATTTTTTATGAATGTATGAATTTTTTATATGTCGAAAATGGACCTGAATACATTATAAGACGAGAGGCAGCAAATGGACTTGATATTTCAAATTTTTCTATTTCAGGGAAAACTGAAAATTTCCGGAATGCCTTTGACTCAGATTCTTTATCTCTGACCAAACTGCCGCTGTCCTTTTATTCAGGTCTTTATGCATATGGTGGATGGTGGGTATTAGCAGCAGTGTCAAACATATAAAAATCTAAAGGAAGGGATTTCCAAAATAATGTAAAAGTGTTTATTTTTGCTTACAGGTTTTATTTAAATTTCATAACTGAAGAGGTAATTAATCCAAACAGGTATTCAGAAGTTCTTGCATTGCCAAATTTTTTTTTTTTTCCCCAATTATTATTAATATATAAAAGCTCTTAGATCAATTTCTTATATATCCCTATTAGAACCATCCCACTGGCCATCGTTTTCTCTATGGTGACTGTTACGGTGTTTTACGTGCTGATCAATGTGGCTTACTACACCATTATGACCGCGAATGAGTTACTGATGTCAGATGCCGTGGCAGTGGTTCGTAGTGGTCTTTGGAGATATTATTACAGGCTTTAGTTTGGAGAGTAAATGTCAAGGCTGTGCTCTCCTTAATGTACCGCAGACATTTGCAAGTCGGGCTCTGCAGGGTGTAGCTCCAGCAATACCAGTATTAGTCGCTCTTTCCTGCCTTGGAGCACTTAATGGAGGATTTTTTAGTTCACCCAGGTAAGGATCTCAGTAACGCAAAGGCAAAAGATGTTTTGTATCTAAAAGTATGTTTTATCTTTGTAGTAGTCTTTGACTTTGACCAGTTAAAAGTTAAAAGAATGGTACACTCAGAAATGAACATTTGCTAAAAATTTACTATCCAAGATGTAAATGAGTTTGTTTCGACATCATTTGCGCACCATTGGATCATCTGCAGTGAATGGGTGCCGTCAGAATGAGAGTCCAAACAGCTGATAAAAACATCACAATAATCCACAAGCAATCTACAGGACTCCAGTCTATCAGTTAACAATTTGTTAATTGACAAGCTGTGTGTTTGTAAGAAACTAATTCATCATTAAGACGTTTTTAATTTCAAACCATTGCTTGTGGGTAAAATATGAGTCTTTGATTGCTTTCTCTAGTAAAAAAGTTGTCTCGTCACTGCTTCAGGAGAGAAATATGCACATATCAAACCCATTTACAAGCAAAAACAGTCCAAAACAGTTCTAAACAAATGTGTGGGTGGATTTTGATGTGAGACAACATCAGGGGATCGACTTTTTCACTGGAGGAAGTGTTATTATGGACTATCAACCATGCAACGATTTAAATTTAAAACACCTTAATTATGGATTTGTTTCTTACAAACACAGGTTTTCACTTCTTCACATGGTGTTAATTGATGGACTGGAGTGGTGTGGATTACTTGTGGATTACTGGGATGTTTTTATTAGCAGTTTGCTCTCTCATTCTGACGACACCCATTCACTGCAGAGGATCCACTGGTGAGCAAGTGATGTAATGCTAAATTCCTCCAAATTTGCTCCATTGAAGAAACAAACTCATCTACATCTTGGATGGCCTGAGGCCCTGAGGGTAATATTTCAGCAAATTTTCATTTTTGGGACTACTATTCCTTTAAGATTTCATAACTCTCTTTCTGCAGGATGTTGTTTGTGGGAGCCAGAGAGGGTCACTTACCAGCTATCTTCTCCATGATCCATATCCGCAGACAAACACCACTGCCAGCTGTGCTATGTTTGGTACAATCACATCTATTCATCCTTTTCTCCCAGTTCCTTAATGCCCGTTTACGTTTCTTCTGATGTTTGCAGTATCCTCTGGTGATCATCATGATGGTGAGAGGAGAGATCTTTCAACTGATCAACTTTGCATCCTTCTCCCGTTGGCTCTTCATTGCCTTGGCCACATTAGGAATGATCATCCACCGCTACAGATTTCCAGATCATCCCAGACCATTCAAGGTCCATTTAAATGGCTCATTACTGATTTATTAATAGGAATTTGTCACTGTATTAATTAAACATTGTGTTGACTGTGTTCAGGTCCCTCTGGCAGTTGTGGTGATCTTTACCATAGTGTGTTTCTTCATCGTGGGCCTGTCCTTGTATTCGGACCCCTGGAATACAGGCGGCAGCTGTGCCCTCACATTATCAGGAGTACCTGTGTATTACCTGACAGTCAAGAAGTCATACATACCCAAACGCTGGAAAAAAGCCTTCAGTGAGTAACGTTAATGCAAAATACATTTATTACCCTTACGAAAATTAACCATGGTTTTACTACAAAAAAAAACATGGTTACTCCAGTTAAACCATGGTAACTACAAAATAGCATGCGTTGCTACACTAACCATAGTTTAACAATGGCATTTGTAGTAAAACTTTAGTGATACAAATGGTAAACAATAGGCAAAAAAAAAGTTTACTGCACATTTGCTAAACATTCATTGCTATAGATCTTAGAGTCCGATTACACGCCATATTAAATGTAACACTGATGAAACAAGGCTGTGAGGGATCTTTACAATGGCACTCACTGTATAAAGTTTCAAAACCATTTTGAGTTTTTGTCTACTTAGTCTTTTTCGGAAAGACGTTTCATCAGCTGAAAAATCGGTATGTTGTTTAACAACATACAATCCACTGAACGCACTGCATTTCTATTCCTCAAAGCCTCGTTTTCATTCCAATAGAAACATACCGTAAATATGGCTCTACTCAAAGGTCAGAAAAGAGCCAATGATTGACCTCTATTTCCTCTTGTGCAGATTATTTAAGCCTACATCTGCAGATATTCCTGGAAGTGGCTCAGCAGGAAGTTCAGACGTACTGATGGAGCTTCACCAAACTACAGACCTGAGTGTTGCAAAGGGCATCAAAGTTCATTTTAGTGGTGTCATTAGTTAATAGTTGCTATTACTATTAGCCCTAACCACCCTAGCATCCGCATAGCAACATCCTTGCACCCTATCCATTAGTGCAAGCATCACTTATATTTTCATCTAGTTTATATTCAAATCAAAGACAGGACTATGTCCTGGCAAGTCATGCTGTTGGGTTAAAGGGATAGTTCACTCAAAAATGAATATTCTGTGATAATTTACTCACTATCATGTCATTCCAAATCCATTAGACTTCGGTTAATCTTCAAAACATAAACGAAGATACTTTTCATGAGATCTGAGATGTTTCTGTTCCTCCATTGAACATTAATGTAACCAAAACTTTGTCCTAAAATGAAGCAGTTTAATGTAAGTCTTAATGTGAAGAGCTACGATTGCTTCATTTGATCAACTATCGCTTTAAGGACCATTTCGTAATAATTCACAAATGTGTTTGTATAAAGTATCCCTTTATTCTCAAAACGAAAGTACAGTAGGAAGAGAAACCAAATTGTATGCTTTGTTGGAAATTACAATGGGTGTTTCTGGTTAAAGCCTGTTACATCAGTAAAATGCCAAGTAGATAACTTTTATATTTTAAGTCTTCAAAAATAGTACAAAATGGTTCTTTCAATGGCAAAGGGTCTGAATGGGACATTTGTTTGTATCACCAAAATATTTGCTGTTGAGAAATGTTATAGTTGATTATTACATCATGACATAAATCTTACAGAAACCAAGTATCAAATGTCTGTGCATCAATGTACTATTATTAGTAAACAGTACTTAATTTCTAATGCTCGTGTAACATCTTAACACCAAAAATCTGTCAACCGTTTAGTTTTTGTATATTTTTATGACATCTTGCTGTTTTTACATTGGAAGAATGCAATACAATGTATCATGAATTAACACAGCTACATTTTGATGGTAGTCTTCTAAGCATATATGAACTCTGCGCATACTCACTAGTTACTCTACATATGCAAATCAACATTAAAAGCTTTGTAATACATCACAAATCTCTTTAAACTCATCATCTTGGTCATATCCAACATTCAGAACACAGTCTTAAATCGTTCTTAATAGCAAAAACAAATGAATGCAGAAAAGCAGCAGCAGCAGAGATGAGTCACTATTCTGACATGCTTGTAACCATGAAAACACATTATGGATGTTATAAACCGCTCCATTCACTCCAGATGAATGGCTGGCAAATTCTAGTACAGTGCAACACTTACATGACCATCTGCAATTAGCAAACCACCATTAAAGGGACAGTCCACCCAAAAATGACAATTCTGTCATTATTTAGTCGCCCTCAAGTTGTTCCAAACCTGTGTAAATTTCTTCCTTCTGTTGAGAATAAAATAAGAAATTCTAAAGAATGTTGGTAACCAAAAAATACTAGTACAATGGCTACCGTCAACTGTTTGGTCACCAACATTCTTCAAAACATCTTCTTTTGTGTTCAACAGAAGAAACTCAGGTTCGGAACAAGTGGAGGGTGAGTAAATGACAGAATTGTCATTTTTGGGTGATCCCTTTAATTTGAATGCGAGTTTATTTTACACCCCAAGTTCTCTTAAAAATATTTTTACCGTCAGTCTCTCTGGCTAATCCAAGGTGTTCAAAATCATTCCAAAACAAAGAAATACTGTAAAATTGGGTAGTGTAATTTAATTAATCTGGTAAATCTGTATGTTCACTTATAATACACACTCTCTCTCTCACACACACACACACACACACGCACTCATATTTATATATTACAACTTGTGCAAATGAATCTTATCTAAGTACATTCGTCACTAACAGTTTTGCTCGCAAATAAAGGCCTACACATTCAAAACACAAACATGTACAGTAGAAGGCAGTGAAATAGCAACAGAAATGAAGAAAATACTTAAGAGATCAATAGCAAGTAAATAAGAATCAAAGGCAGTGAAGGAAGTGTGAGCAGCTCGGATAAAGGAATGGGAGTCACTTCAGCTCTGGGATAAATTGGGACCAGCTGATGTTTGCCATGCCGAGATCATCATCTTCCAGGTTGGGGAAGCTGATATCCACTAGGATTTTACTCAGGCTGTCGTTCATGGTATCTAGGACGAGGCCTTCGGTAAGAGAGCGGTTGGCGGCGCACTCTTGTAGCAGCTCTCTGGAGCAGGTCGCAGTGGAGCGTCTCGGAGAGGGTCTGGAGCAGGTGAGCAGCTCTCGAGGGGAGCTGAAGAGCGGCAGCTCTTTGAAAGGCGTGCTGTTGAAGCTGAAAGGCGTGTGTTCGTGCCGTTGCGGGGTGAGCTGTGGCCCGCTGGGTGTACGGATGGGGCTGAAGTCCAGCATGCCTCCCTTCCTGACGGGAGTGATCCTCCAGGGCTCCAGAACTGCGGGAAGCTTACTGGGTGTGGACGAGGAAGGGTGGCTGCTCTTGATGGGCGTTTTAAAAGTGTATTCTCTGTTTGGGCTGTCAGGGTCGGGTTTACAGGAGGGCTGGGGCTCCGGATCGTGAGTGTCTTGGAAGGGGGAGACGTCGGAGACCACGCCCGAGTCGAAGAGAGTGCTGTTGGGGTAGAGCAGGACGGGTTCCTCGGTGGCTGGCAGGACTAGACGCTGTTTGCGGCGGGAGCTGCTGTTTTCTTGCTGTCTGGTTTTGGAGGGCAGAGCTTCGGGAGTCACAGACACGCTCACAGGCTCCTCCTTAATGTCCTGAGAGGTGGACGCACACAGCATCACCGAGCTCACGTCGCTCTGTGAGACCTTTCACAACACACACAAGCGTTAAAACAACCAGAACTTACTCTAATTAATTTCTACACTTTTTTCAATTCCCAGCTGAAACCCCCCCCCAAACACCATAATTGATTTGTTGGCTGCACTAAAGTGGTCTACCAGCCCAAAACCAGGTAAAGATCCAACTGATCAACCATCTAGATCAGACTGGATCAGACTATTAATTAGTTTAAAGTCTGGTTTTAGCTCATTTTCCTGCAGGGCTGAAATTCAGTGTTTCCAATTCAGTGTACTTACAACAAATTAATACTAACTTAATGATAGTGTTTGCTGTGCTGTTGTTAAAATGCTGCTAAAAAATGGACTGTATTACAGTAATCACAAAATAGGCTTAATTTATTTATTTAAACTAATTTACTAATTTTCAATGTACTTTTTTTTATAGCAGGATGAAATATGACCTGTTTTATATAAATAAACAGGCTTTATATTAGGAGCTATCCAAACCCTTGTTGACTGCTCTTAAAATGGTTTACAAGCCCAAAGCCAGCTGATCAACTATCTAGATCAGCTTGGATCAGTACAGGTAAATGACCATTAAAATCTGATTAAGGCTAGATTTTCAGTAGTATTTCCCCACGTGAAATGAATGAGTGAATAACATGCAACCAAATAAATATGGGAAAAATCATTTTATAAATTGATAATTAAATATGTATCTCTTCCATAGCAAAGTATTGACACATAATGGTCATGTGTGCTGTACTGCATTTAAAATTATGCTGGGGAAAAAAACTGCATATATTACAGTAATCAGAATCACCACTGAGAAAAAAAAAAAAAGGTTTAATTTTTCTATAATATAACTTTTTTTTCTTTTGATGAAATATGTCCTAGGACAGTTTTTGTGAGATTCATTAATTTAAACATATAGGGTGTACCTTAGGGGCAATCCGGACCCTCTTGCTCGCACCACTGGAGCTGGGAGTGGAGGAGCTCGGAGCGTGTGGAGGAGTGGCGAGAGTCGCAGGACTGGAGGAGGGCAGGAAGAGCGACTGACCCAGAGGAAGCTGGATGGGAACCAGGTACGAGTCAGTCCGAGGCAGAAGCGGCTTCATCTTCCTCTCTGAGGACGAGCAGAGATAAAACGACTGTCAGGAAACAAACTCGTCACACATGCGGAGACATTCATCCCCTCTCATCCAGCCAACACTCACCTGTGCCGCCCGTGGCAGGTATGACTTTCTTCAGCTCCGGAGGACCTCTCTTCTGTTGCTACGGAAAAAAAAAAGACACTTTCTTTACTTTCACACAAAGTGTGGCATTCAATCTAACTGCAGCCTCAATACTGTCTGCCTTTTTGATGACTCTCAGATGATTAAAAGAACAAAACAAGCGATGATCTCGAGCTGAACATTCTTCCTTCTGTCTGTCTCTGAAATAAAATAAGTGATTCCTGGAGAAGTAGAGAGGCTGGTCCCTGTCTTACGCCCTGACGATCTGCCATGAGAGGACAAATTAGAAGGAAAAAGGGTCTTACTTTATTGAAACCAACTTGTGGGATCTGAGGGCAAGTGGGGGTCACTGGGTCAACCAAAGGCTGTGGGACGAGCCAGGAAATGAGAGATGACCACATTTGAAGCATAAAATCGCAAATGAACACAGTAGCACAGTAAGGGATACACACCTTGTAAACTTGGTCCAAAGTAAGACAGCGGTTTGCTTCCGGTCGAATCGTCCAATAGGAGATCTTGCCATCGGGAGATGTCTCCCGGACAAACATGTCATGTAGTGAGAGGTTATGACGTATGGAATTCTAACAAAAAAGTTTAATCACACTCAGAAATCTTACAAGAGAGGTTTATGTAAACTGAAACTCTACTGGTTTTACACACTACCTTCCATCCGGGTTTGGCAACATTTCTGAAATACGGAAAATGGTCCTCGATCCAGTTGTAAATTTCCTTCAGGGTCATGTGTCGGTTCTTCTTGCTGTTGATAGCAAACTGGATCATAGCCATGTAGGAATATGGGGGTCTCTCTGACAGAGGGTCCTTCTCCTTTTCTGGAGCTTTGGGCTGCTTATGAGGAAACAAACAAACAATTTTTAAGAATGAAATTTAAAAAAACAAAATATAGAAGAAACATACAAAAAAAAAAAAAACATTATTTATTAACCAATTTGTAAAGCTGCAATGAAACGGAAGCAGTGACAGATCTTTTCCTCCGTATTGTGGCATAAAACCAAGACCAAATGATTTGAGAAGTCCAGTCTGTCGTTTTAAAATCATAAATTAGAAATAAAGATATGCATGTTTTTTCTCTATTTTTTCCTTCCTCTTGTGATACGGCAGGGCAGGTCACATCAAAAAGCCAACTTTTATGCATCTCTGATCTCTAATGTGCATTTAGAAAATAGAGAGGGTGAATTTAATTTCATGCCGACTTTAACGTTGTGTACCTGATGACAGTCACTTGGATTGTCCTTGCTGGTGCATTTTTGGTTTGACTCCGATCCGAGCCCATCAGAGCTCATTTTTCCCAGCCACTGGATGTTGGTCAGACTGTCATCAAGCGGGAAGCACTCCGTCTCCTGTTTCACTAACATCACAGCAAAGAACATTTCAGAAAACACATTTTTCAGAACATCAACAAGCTCCGTCTTAGCCACATCCCTCACCTTTCTTGAGATCACCCTTGGGTTCTGTAGATAGACACCCGAGGGTTTTGCTCTCCTCCAAACTGGTGCTGCCACTGAGCAGGATGAACTTGTTTCGGCCCTGAGGGCCACACTCCTTGCCTTTGGCCGTCAGGGCACTGATGACGCTCTGCAGATCGGCTGCTTTCGGGATCACCACCACCTGAGTGTCCGGCATGGTGGGGTGGTCCATCATGCGGATGCCATCGGGGAAGCAGCGGGCGGTGGACGGGGTCAGGGTGGTCTTGCAGCGCGGCCCATCGGCCTCATCGTACCCTGCATCAGAAAGTGTTTATATATATATATATATATATATATATATATATATATATAACATTATGTAGTTACTATTATTATTATTATTTGTTTTTAAGTTTTAAATTTGAACTTCTCCGGACTTTTATCTTGTCGGGTATTTTCTTCGTCGTCCATTGTGGAAGTGGCGCAGTGAAGCTGGTTTTGTTTACAGACTGGATATGTTCCACGTGTAGTGTCCTAAATTAATTAATGACATTGAGAATTCACATTGTATTATTCCCAATCATTTCTTATTTCGATATTAAGCCTGTAATGCACTAAACGCTCAGTAGCAGTCCGGTATGAGGAACAGTTCGTCGGTGTCTCTGGCGGGCGGTCGTGGGAAAACACATTTTTCAGAACATCAACAAGCTCCGTCTTAGCCACATCCCTCACCTTTCTTGAGATCACCCTTGGGTTCTGTAGATAGACACCCGAGGGTTTTGCTCTCCTCCAAACTGGTGCTGCCACTGAGCAGGATGAACTTGTTTCGGCCCTGAGGGCCACACTCCTTGCCTTTGGCCGTCAGGGCACTGATGACGCTCTGCAGATCGGCTGCTTTCGGGATCACCACCACCTGAGTGTCCGGCATGGTGGGGTGGTCCATCATGCGGATGCCATCGGGGAAGCAGCGGGCGGTGGACGGGGTCAGGGTGGTCTTGCAGCGCGGCCCATCGGCCTCATCGTACCCTGCATCAGATTCACTCTTCTGAAATGGCAGCTTCCTCCTCTTCAGGATGATGGGTCTCCTTGGGCTCTCTCTCATTGTTTGCTCACAGCAAAAAGGTCCGGCTGATGACTGTCTGCATATAAAACACATAATAGGTCATATTTACATTTAACTTAAAAGTTTTTTTTGTCCTAAATACAGTACACATAGGAACTATTTAACTACAAGAAACTAACGTTAGACGCTTCGCAAGATCATTCATACAAAGAATAAAATAACATACAATCTTGATTCAAAAGCAGATTAAGTGTCAAAATAAATGCGTGCACGTAAAATATACATTAAATACGTCAAAAAATATCATATATATTTGCAGATCTTGGCCAAATATACCGATAAGAAGGTCTGTTGATAAACGACTTTTTTGTCTAACGACTCTTGAATGACGATTTTAGTTCTAGAATATAAAATACCGTTACAGATTGATTACTTTCAATCTGACCTACTGTTATTATTGTAGTTATTATTTTTGTTTGACAGATCGTTCAGAAGCAAAAGATTTCGTGAAAGGCAGGTTTGTAAAATATTTGTGTAAAAAATAAAATAAAAGTGCTTTTATTTTTTTACAATGATCTCATCGCCTTCATCTTCTTTTTAAAACACATTAGAGTGGTTGTCGTCTTAATATTTAATATAATTAAAACAGTAAATTATTAATGTATAAACGATCTTCCTTTATTATCTGACATGCGGCCTAGTGATTCGTCTACCCAACTAACCTACTGTACACGTTTAATTTATTAAAAATACAACACACATCAAATAACACGAAGCGGATCAAACCTTCATATCATGTCAGCCGTGCAGACGGTGGTTTATTGGAGTTAATCTGGCAGTGTTGAGTGATAAAATGTATTTTGATGGGTAAATGAAAAACTTGGGTGACGGGTCCCTGGACTCTTGTTGCGCATTTGATGAGATTTTGAATTTTGGCGCAGAGCGGTGCAGCGCTATCACGTGATCACGCCTAGCCCAATGGCGGATAAACATGGGCGGAGCCATCGAGCGGAGAACGTTGCTGTTTTCTTTAGGTGCAGTAAGTTGTGTTCCTTTAGGGGGCGATCGGCGGCTCCGAAATACATATTCTTTAATTTTCTACAGCAGAAACCTTCTACATTTCTTCAATAGAAAAGTGTAGAGCAATCTCTGCAACATTTTTAAAAAAATTATTCCATACGTGTGTGACTGTGTCTGGTCCGTTGAGAAACGCGCTGAGAAAATTAACACCGTTTATGTGCCGCTTCAGCAGCGGTCTGGTTTAAATTTTACACCTGAATAGTAACACTGATGAAAAAATAATAATATTGGAACTTAAAAAACGCAATAAATAATATTTAAAAACTCATTATGATTTGAACTCATCCTACCTGACCAATCAAAACAACATCCGGGCCACCAAGCCCCGCCTCTTGTGGGATTCCATTGCTAGGCTAACCAACATTCAATCAGTTTCTATTTCTCCGGGAGGAACTGAAGTGTGTGAATGGGGGACGAACTTTCCCCACAAACCTCTGTCAGACGGTTTATCAGTGCCTTTGTCAAATTTATATGGTCCAAAGAAAAAATACAATGCGATTGAGAAGAAATAAAAAGCGATGCGTGAGTATCAGTTAAGGTTTTCATTGCATGCCATGTATTTTATCAACACGCGAACTTTCTCCATAGTACGGCTACCATGTCTCACTAACAAACATACGATAAAATGAGATGAGATCTTCTAGTATTAATGGTTTTGATGCCTCTAAATGTGTCGGTAGTCAGTATCTATCTTAGAGAATTGAAAATTTATGCCTGCATGACACTGACAGATCAGTAGTAGTAATGATTCTCTTCCTCATGTCATCTTGTTTTCCTCCTTGCAGCATATCATGTCTTCTAATGCCCCGCAATTCACATAAGAAGAGGCTGCTGAACCCAAACAAATCTCAGCTGTTGTTCGTAGAGGCGCCCATCAATGGACCAAAGCACAAGTATGGACCACAACTACGGAGTGCCATTCATCCCAAGTCATTTATATCAGAGAAACAACAGCGAAGTGGTGCACCATGTACCTCTTGGGTATGTGCATGCTTTGCAACCCTTACTTTCATTTTATGAGCGAAGATGTTTCAACTGAAACTGAAGCATATTCTCTGTTTGTAGGTGTCTCCGCAGTTTAATTCGCTCGAAACCACAATGGTTAGTCGAGGGAGGAGAAATAACCAGATGGCTACGAGGATCTCAAAAAAGGCCCAAGTTTTGGGTTTCCCTCAGACTAGGAGAGCAAATGGCTGCAAATATATTCCCTTGTCCTTTGTGGCAACCACAGCAGGTTCACAGCACCAGCGTGAAAACATTAGTAGTTCACGGACAAAGAATGATAGGCTTGTTTCTTCGGACAGTCATAGTAAGGAGCTTCGAGAAACTCCAAGAAGAACTCGCTTTCCTCGAAAAGGGGTGGAGAGGAGGATGGCTACACGTGTTATATCCACCTCCAGGCGTTCAGAAGTTTCAAAGAACGTGCAATTCCACAAAAATGGAACGACTAGGGATTCAGTTCACACGCCGAACACAAGCTCGGTTCCCGAACCCCCCAATGTAGAGATGCCTGAAATGCCACATTGCTCCAGCATGTCTCCATCCAATGTTCAACATCTCCTCTTCCCCCCAAACCAAGCAAAAACTCCTCCGCGAACTGAGAACTCAAGCGTCCTGGTGATGGACACACCTGAGAAAGAGTATGGGCTGAGGGTAACATGGAGACGGAGGAAAGGACTGATGAAATTGTTGATTGACAGAGGTCAGCTTCTTCCAGCAGATGCTGGAGTTGCCAGTGATTGGACTTAAACCGTAAATTAACAGATACAGCAATAATTTGATAAGTTTTGTAGTTTTCTTTTCAATATGGATTTGCTAAGATTAGGGAAATTGTACAATTTAGAACATTTAATATATGAACACTTCAGGAGAGAAGAATTAAAGATGTAATTTTGTTGTCCCCAGCCTTATTTAATGGAAGCACCTTTGTACTCTGTTGGATATCAATGAATTATGTACTTAAATGTAAAATACACATATCTGTCAAATATTCCTTTATTCACAAGATTTGTATTTATTTTTATTTTTTTTAACTAAAGGGAGTTTGTGTAAATTTGTGTGTGCAGGAAAAGTCTAATATTTTTAGATTTTATATTATAGTACTTTGAGAAAGTCTAAAATTTATAAAATATTAAAAATATAAAACTGGTATAAAATATCAGATTAAATATTAACTCAGAAATATAATAATTTTGATTAAAATTTTTTTGGTCTCTACTTAATCCCCATAAGTGTTTATATATATAT